AAATGTTTTTTTAGATAATAGCAATAAAAAATGAAAATCACTAATAATAATTTGAAATATGTTTTTATTTTAATTTTAGTTAAGTCATCAAAATGATGTGTCATCCACATCACCTCATTAAAGCCACACAAACAAAAAAGTCAAAGGGTTAATCGGTTTAAAAGGTAACAGGTTATCCATTGCTATTATGGGTAGATTTTTTAAAGTACAATGCCTTAATAAAAAATAATTTGAAAGTACATTGTTGTAATAAAGAAAAACAAAAGTAGAATGCTATAATAAGAAATTTTGTGAAAATAAGTTGCTATTTCATGCATTTTAACCTAAATATCTCAATCTATTGCGTTGCATTGGTTGTACAAATGCAATTGGTTGTATTTGAAACAAACTCTCTCTCTCTCTCTCTCTCTCTATATATATATATATATATATATATATATATATTTTTCAAATACAACCTGTGTCATTCGTACACCCATACAACCCAATCTGAACCGTCCTTCTACTCTGACAATTATTTTTCTTCATAAATATATTGATTTTTTCATAATATAAAGTGTTGATCGTCATTGATAAAATATAAATATCTTGCATAAATATTTAAATCATAATAAATAAACCATTATTATTTATATAATTATTTTAATTGATTGGATTGTATGAGCTATATGAATTAGATGTTTTATACAATAAACCACCTCTCTCTCTCTCTCTCTCTCTCTATATATATATATATATATATATTAGAACAAAATGCACAGAATATCCATCTATTTTCATAAATTTCTTTATTATAACATTGTACTTTCAGTTTTTCTCATTACAACAATGTACTTTCAAACTAATTTTTATTAGAGCAATGTACTTTCAAACTATTTTTTATTAAAACAATGTACTTTGAAAAATTTATAGCATTGATTAACCTTTTGATTTAAATTACCCATTATACCAGGTTTTCATACCATCTCATTGTCCACGTAGGCTGTCTACATGTACTATAGTGATGTGAATTTCTTATTACAACATTGTACTTTCAAAATTATTTTATTATGACATCTACTAGTTCTTATTAAACAATATACTTTTAATTTTAATATTTAGATATTTTACATGTTATTTAATAAATATATTAAATTAATTAAAAAAATTCTAAATTATTCATTAATATACCAATATYAATAAAACTAGTAGAAGACAACTTATCTCGCTAATATTTTTTTAAAATATGTGTTTTTTGAAAAAAGAAAATGTTAATTTTTTACCAAAAAAATATTATCTTTCAAATAATATATTATATTTGTTCAAAAACTTTTACTTGACGTACAAAAATGCATTTTACGAATTCTAGGGACGAAAACCAAAAAGCACAGGTTGTTTTGAAATTGAGATTTTCTCCCGTGTGATTTGTAATCTATTGCTATTTTTGTTCGATTCTTACCTTCAAAGTACAAGGAATCAAAACAGTAAAAAATGTAAACAATAAAAACCGTAAATCATAAACATCAAAATAGCTATGAATTACAAATTATAGAATCGAAAACTACAATTTTTAAACCATAGAGACTAAGGCCCTGTTTGTTTTTACCTAAAAAGCACTTAATACCCTCTTATGTCTGAATCGGTCAGACCTTAGGGTATTAAGTGTGTTTGTTTTTTTTTTTCAATTAAGAGCTTAGAAGCTCTGATTATGTCTGAATTATTTAGAGGTAACATTTTCACTTAAAACCTCTTAATTGCTTTTAGAGCTTCCAATGCTTGCAAAGAAAGCCTAGATTTCAATGATTCAGATTTCAGATTTCAAACGTAAAAACAAACAGTCTGACTGATTCAGATTTCAGACTTCAGCACCACCTTTTAAAATTCAGAAGTGAATTCAGACTTCAGACTTAAACACCTCTTAAAAAACAAACGCCACCTAAAATTACAATTTCTATCACCACAGGGACAAAAATGTAATTTACTTTTTTTATTTATTATGCCTATTTAGGTTTATAAAGAAGATTATTCAAGTACTATGTGGATCCCCCCAATTTCCCGTACTTGACTTTCTTTGTCTTTATTTTTTCACACGTGCGAATTGTATAAAAATTAATAATTTAAACTATTATATATTGCGAGTCAAAATTGTTTTCGTGAGTCATGTAAAACAAGTTTTTTATACTTGAAACTTCACAGCAAAACGCTGTGAATGTTCGATTTCAAATTTTTTTTTACCTTCACAGCTTTTTGTTATGAAGTTTCAAATATAAAAAACGTGTCTCATAAAAACAGTTTTGTCTCACGTGACCCAAACCTTGTATATACACATATAATTTGTTAAAGATTTATGTTTGAATTTCAACATAGTTTCAGAGACAAACTTTGCTGGAAAAAGGCAGCAATGCCATAAAGCAGGTGAGTTGCAAACCTGAGCCAAGACATGTAAATTAAACTAGATCAACGGCTAAGATGTATTTTGCATAATTTATTGTAAATAAAAGGTTTGTAAAATAAACCTCCCCTCAAAACTACTTTATAGTCAACTAATAGACACGTTTAAACTATGGATAAATGTTGAATTTAATAACTAGACATAAACAACTTTTGGTGCAACTTTGCAGGCAAAGACGCCTGCACACTAATAGGCTGCATCATGTATATTATCACATGTGATAAGAGTATTCTTAATGTGATATTATAATATATCATATGCGATACTAAATTAGGGACGTAGACGACCTCTGGTGTGATGTAGATCACGGACCAAGTCGTACGCACACCACCATGTCTCATCACGTATATTATGATTATCACATGTGATAAGAGTGTTCTTATATTTTTATAAAATCAAGGTGTTATCGTTTAAATCTCCGCTTATGGTCTTTTTTTCCTTTGCAAAATCAGATTTTTCGAAGACCATTTTTTGTAAATGGAAGTGGATTTGTTGGTGGATTTGATAATTTTAGTGGGTTGTATGAAAAACGTGGACATCTTGGTGGGTTTGTTTATTTTAGTGGAGGACCATGGTGGGGATGTGGTGGTGTTGCTTGGTGCTCAGTGGTGGCAAAAGATGCGTTGTCATCGTTAAGAGGTGAAAGCTTGTTTGATAAAAATAAAATATGTTTTTTAATGGTTCTAAAACTCTTTGAATGATTTTATATCATGAATCTTTCTTAATCATTCAATGCCCTAATTTCATTACAAACAATTATATTTTATTTTGCACTATATCATGAGAGACTCTTAATCATTTTAACATCTTATTCATTCTGCATCAAACCATTCAGCAACTGTTAAACAACCACTGAATGTCAATACTAATAAAGTGCACCTGATCAATTTATTTCTAAAGTGTAATTCATAGGTGAATATGAGATTAAAAATGATCAAAAATTCAGATCTATTTTTTTTATATTATCATTTGATATTTTCCATATATCAATGAAATTCATCATCTCAACTTGCAACATATTATACAAACTATTTAATGGTAATCATAAATATGGTGTCGTAAAAATAAAATAATAGCGACGTTTTCGTTGACCCTAATGAAATTAAGAAAGGAAAGCCCCGAGATCCGATCATGAAAACACATCTATCATTAAAAAAAAAATAGAATTTAAATTTAAAAAAAACGATTCATTTAAATGTTTTAATCCAATATATATTTTCCTTATTATCTAATCATATAAATATGTTAAAATAAGAAAATAGACGAATCATATTTGATTCATGCGATTTTGATCGTAACTTGATGTCGTAGTGGTCATGTTATCCACATACTTTTATGTTGATCGTTAGTGTAAAATCACATATGATGTTGTATGTAATTTGGTTATTTGTATGTTTTTTTTATTATTATTGCTCTAGTTTGAAACTCCTTACCCCCTTTCTCTATATCTATATTATATTATAACTATTTGATAAAAACTTTTAAAAATTATTTTTTATGCATTAATTATTGTTCATTGATGCATATTTTTAAAGTTCAAGATTACAAGTAAATTGTACGTAAGTATAACTTACTAAAACTTCATTTTTTAATATAAAAAATTTAAAATATAATTATGATAATTATTGAGTTTTAAGAAGAGACTTAATTATTATCTATAAAAAATATTATGTTATTAAGTTAAAAATAAATTACTTCATTATTAAATTATAATAAAAAAAATTGAATTAAATAAATTACACAAAACACTGATGGCTTTTAAATAATTAATTTGATACTAATATCGATATATTTTTTAAATTTTTTATGATATATTCAAATTTATATTTCATGTAAAAATAAAACATTATCGATTTCTTAAAACTACATATAGCCCCCATTATAATTCTTGATTTATAATATATTGATATACCTTATCATATTCATACTATCTTATAAACCAGATTTATCAAAAATCTTAAAAACAATTTTTAATACACAAAGTATTATATATTTTTATGCACAAAGTCTTAAAAACAACTCATAATGCATTAAGTACTACTACTACTTTATGCATTCAATGTTAAAATATCTTAATCTACAATTAAAATAACATATAGTACAAGTTACCAATGCACATTATTATCTTTTCTTTTCATGTTCTCAAGATACTTTTGACTCATTTCATTCATGCATTCACTTTCGCATACCTCTATGTCTTCTCCCTATCCCCCAAGGTGAGATTCAAACTGATATTCACCATGAGTATTAAAAGTTCTATCATTCATCTCTCATTCAATTGCTCTAGAACTCTCGGTCTCGCTCTCGATCTCTTGATTCTTTGCTCTTGGTGTAAATCGAACACATTTGTGGAGTCGTTTAAATATATTAGATTTTAAATTGTCATACAATTTTTTTYCATCGATAGACTATAATTGGAACCACAACTCTTATTTATTCAAATTGTATTAATATGTAAAGGTCAAGTATAACTTATATTATCGTTAAATCTTCAATAATAAAACCAGTAAAACTTTAAAATTGTTAAACAGTCCACGCCACATTGCACGGGTACACGACTAGTCACATAAATAAAGATACAAATACAAATGTAGATCCAAGTATAACATAACATCTTTATCAAGCTCTTCAAAATTCAATTATTACATTATTATTCAAACATTTAGTTTATACATATATATATATACACACATAGGTGTGCAGGAGGCAACAGGCAAAATGCGGATTCCGCTTATCGTCCTCCTCCTGCTCTTCATACTGCAATTCCACATGCTACAGCTTTCACATTCGAAATCCATCGTCGGAAAACTCCCTGGATTTTCCGGCCAGCTTCCCTTCGCTCTCCAAACCGGGTCTGTACCTTTCAACTTCGCTCTTTTCATTCAAAAACCACCGTTTTACACTAGCTTCATCGTCTAGATCTGTATTTTACCCCAAACTAATTGTTCAATTAGGGTTTTCAATCTGTAAATGGAAAAACACGAGAAACAACGTATATTACATCAATTGCGTTTTGTATACTAGAATCGCAACGATTATTGATATGATGACAATTGATTAATCATACATTGTTGTTGTAATGAGATTGCATATTCTCCCTTTTGATATTGAATAATATATAAAGGTAAAATTGCAGTTATATTGGAGTGGGAGAAAATGAAGAAGTGCAGTTATTCTACTATTTTGTCAAGTCTGAAAGAAATCCCCAGAGAGATCCGTTGCTTCTTTATCTAACTGGTGGCCCAGGAACCTCTGCCATTATTCCCTTTCTTTACCAAATCGGTAACTTTTCTTTTTCTTTTTCGTTATTTCTTAATTAATAATTTAATTTAATTCTTATTTTAAGTAATATACTTTCAAAATTTTCATTTTGGTATCTAGTACGTAAAATTTTAAACATTTAAGTACACAGTCAATAGCAGTTGAAGCATTAACTAGTTATCATGTTGATGTGTTATCTAATTCAGTATTATTTGCTATTCAACCGAATTTCATCTCACCACTCGTTACATCATCATGGTAACATGTTAATGCTTCAACCGGTAAACCGAATACTTAAATTTTCAAAACTTTATATCTTAGGTACCAAAATGAAAATTTTAAAAGTATGGTACTCAAAATAATAATCAAGTTAAAAGTACCTTATTTTTTTGATACAATTTGCCTATAATTTATTTTAAAAATAGATCATCTATTTTTTAATCTTATCTTTATTTATAACTTAAAAGAAAAAAAAAGTTTTTCTTGTTAATTAAACGTATTTTTATAACTATATCTTTTTCATAAGATATTTATTTTGAATATTTGTCATATACATTTTAAAGTTTTTTTGGATGGTAATTTTGTATCAAATCAGATCAATTAATATATGTTAAATTGATATCAACTTAACTGATCGTTACCAGTTATAGTCCGTTGATAGTACTAGGGGTGCTCAAAAACCCGATGAACCCGACCAACCCAACCCGATTTAAAAAAAAAAAACCCAACCTGAGGTAACCCGATGCATGATCGATAAAAAAATTAGTCAACCCGACCTTATTGGGTTGGAATCGGGTCAGCCCCAAAAAAACCCGACCAACCCGACAACCCGATGAACCCGACCTTAACTTTAGCTTTGAATTGTAGATGACAATTATGACATGACCAACCTCAACGTTAAGAAAACGAAAGCATCGGGGTTGGAAATGTCTAAAACTATTGTTGTTGATTGATGTATTATCATTTGGTTTAAACATTTTTATCGTAATATCTAAATATTTGATGAACTTGCATATTATCTTGAATGGTCGGTCGTATTTCAAAGGAAAGTTTTCTTTATTTTTATGTAATTTTACATTGTTTAAACACAACCCGATCAACCCAAACGGGTTGGGTTGGGTTGGGTTGGGTTGAAATTTTTCAAACCGTCAACATTGGGTTGAGTTGTTAAAACGGCTCCAAACCGATCAACCCGGGCCGTGAGCACTCCTAGATAGTACTGTACCAAGCATGCAAACTTGGTTGGTACATGACATTGAAAATCGCATATCACTGTAGTACCATGATGCTAAATCATTTATAATTTTGTATGTTTTATATATTGTACATTATAATTTTAACTCTTTTATTTGATTACATTTATATGTTCGCATGTTCATTTTTTCCAATTTAAAAAACTTAAATTTCACATGTGTTACCTGAAAATTCAAATATCATTCAAAATTTGAACAAAATGACAAGTTTTTATATCTGTAATTTAAAGTTGGTACAAAAATCAGTTATTTTAAACTCTTAGGTATCCCTAAAAGTCATGTATCCACCTAATATTTATATTAACAATAAAACACATTTAACCTCTATATAATATTATATTTTTTTTTAAAATAACTTATTAAATATTAGGTACTGCTTAATAATATATATAATTTTTTAAATTTAATAATTTATATGTACAAATAATCCATACAAACATCTTTATCCATACACGACTTAATAAAAAACCAATCAAATACGCATGCTCCTTACGTTATTGTAGTTTAAACCTGTGATCTTTAAAGACACAAGAAGTCCAGAGACCGCTAGGCGCTTTGGTAAAGTCGTTACAACGTTTATATCAATCATATCATTAAACATCAAGACTTAAAGATGGATGATATTCGATCGACCACATATTTTGTGTGACATTTAATTCCGACTCATATGCATATGTTCCTCCAAACAAGAAGATGACGATTTGGGTACTTAAAAGATCGATGATATTTAACACCTCGTCCCACATGGTTCGTTTTGCAAATAAAAATCACGAACCGGATCTAGAACTATAGATTTCCGCATTCGTAATAATACAAACTATATATTAATTTGATCTTGTTACAGGTCCACTTAATTTCAAATATGGCAATGCAAATAGAAGTGAAGTAAAATTGGAATTGAACCCGTATTCATGGACAAAGGTACGAATTATTTACTATATGCATATCATTGGTTTGGCTCGACTCACATCACGTGTCGAGTTAAATCGTGCAACAATCTTCTAAGTGTTTTGGGTATGTTGTAGACGGCTAACATCATATTCATAGATCTCCCCGTTGGCACCGGATTTTCGTATGCCAAGACGTCCAAATCGTCAAGGAGCAGCGATTCCCTTGTAGTTACTCATGCCTATGATTTTATAAGAAAGGTAAATGTTATGAAACAATACATGAAATTGGCCTGGTTTTCTCATGTCTTGTTTTACCAATGAAAGGATATATGAAAATGGTTTTCATGATTTCTAACTTTTAGATGATTTCCATTTTTCTATATGATTTGCAGTATCTATATCTATCTATCTATATATATATAGAAAGAGAGAGAGGGGTGAGTTATTATACAACTATTTATATTTGTATTACCAATACAACTCAATCTCAACCGTCCATTTAATTTGAAGAATATGTGATTTCATATAAGTTTTGATTGTTTCCTAATATAAAGTGTTGATCATAATTAATGAACCATATTTATCTTCCATAAATATTCAAATCATAATAAATAAACTCTCATCATTTCTATAAATATCTCAATTAATTGGGTTGCATTGGTTGTACAAATGGACATGATTGCATTTGAAATATACCCTATATATATATATATATATATGATAACCGATGAATATATGTGTTATTTTATGTTGTGAAACGATATATGCGGAACATACAGTGTTGTTTCATGTTATGAAACAAAAAATACATGTAATTCATTGTGATTTGGCCATTTTCTTGTCCTCTTAATTTGACTGAGAACATCCCTATATAGATATATGGGCAGATCCAAACAGAAGCTAAACATTTTACGAGAAAGTGATAAGTTCAATATCATATATGATTATATGCATGATACACAAGCTTAATCATATTGATTAAGCACATTTTGCATTCACAACATATATATAGACGTTTAATCATAACTTTTCGCATGATCCTTTATATATATATATATATATATATATATATATATATATATATTACACCGAAGTTTTCATTTATTTCGGAAGCAGAATGATTGGTTGTTTGATGTATGATTTGTATTTTCATGAATTTGCAGTGGCTCCTGGATCATCCTACGTTTCTCAGTAATCCATTGTACATTACGGGGATTTCTTACATGGGAATTATCATTCCAAATGTCGTTTCAAGAATATACGACGGTAACGATGTTTTTTCCGGTTTAAAAACGGATGAAAACAACTTCTTAAAACTCGTTTTAAACGTTACCAAGTTACGGGTCGTTAAACGTTCTCTTTATTTTTGTAGGCAACGAACGAAGGGTTCAACCAAAATTGAACATCAAAGTAATTCCTTACATATATATCTTCCAAAACTCATTTACAAACCAGAATATTGTTTACAGAGTGAAAATGCAGTATCTATAGAGTGTTGTTTTATCCGTGAAAATAAAACAGCCCAGAACGTTCACATATGAAACAACACTACATTTTCACATGTGAAACAACACACGAAAACTGATTGGTCGGTTTATATAACTTAGTGGGTTTGTAAAAGAAGGGGACTCAACTTCAGTATTATGCACGTTTTGTTGATTGATTAATATTTCACATGTTTGGATTTCGGTGTAGGGTTTCTTGATCGTGAATCCTCTTACTGATAAGTTCATAGATTTCAATTCGAGAGTTGAATTTGCCTACCGCTCTGCACTTATAGACGATGAAATCTATGAGGTATGTACGGACTTTGAGTCATTTACTACGTATTTTAAAAGTCTTAGAAGGTCGTAAGCTTTTGAATTTTTCAGTCGGCAAAAGAAAATTGCGGGGGGAAATACGTGTACTTAGATCCGAACAACACAATGTGCTTGAATAGTCTTCAACGCGTAAATGAGGTGAGTTGATTGTTGAATTTTGCCCGTCTTTTTTAAGTATATTCACCGATCACTTACATTATAATGAAATAAACTTAAATTTTATGTTCCGTTTCTGTCCACGAATCACATGAAAACACGTCATCACTTTATTGAAGAGAAAATTAAATAAATTTATATTAAATTAAATTAAATCAAATCATGACTTGACTTCAAGTGATAAGTGCGACAGGGAGGAAATACGAGATTTGGAGACACAAATTTTTATTCATTATGAATAAACATACGCTTTTCAATTGCAGTGCCTTACTCGAATTAACATAGCTAACATCTTAGAGCCGGTTTGCAACGTACAAGATCCAGAAGCATTTTGTCGAGTAAACTCTAAACCCTACCGTTAAACGAATTTTTCTTCGAGTATATATACATATATATATATATATACATATATATATACACATATATATACATATATATATATATATCTTAGATTTACAACCTTTCCTACGATTATACGTTCTCTTTTAGGAATCCATTTATCTGTATTCGAATATTTGGGCAAACACGAAAGCGGTCCGACAAGCTCTCCACATTCATGAGGTATGTTCGTTGTATATTTAAAATCGAACATTAACAATTGATAATGGTATATGTTGAAGTCTCATATCAGCTAGACACTGTATTTATAACCTCTATAAACGTTAGAACCTCCTTTATCTCTTCAGTGTTGTTGGTTCGCAGAATTCAAAGCATTTGAAGAGAATTGGAATGATCCCTTTGACCAAATTCTAATTCCTTTCTTTGGATCCTTTGAATTTATTTGAATTCATCATCCCTTTACATAAGTGAAGAAATTGAATTCCATTTTTTTGCATGTCACTGTCACACCCCCACCACGGCCAAACTACTTTAACTGTCACACCCCCACCATGACCATACTACTTTCACTGTCACACCTCCTCCCCAGACAGTCGTTGTCACGACCGCCACCCATCACATACCGCTGCTGTCACTGTCACTCATCCCCTACCCTAACTCGCCACTGATCACCATGCCACTATTGTCGTCGTCACCCTCATTTTATTCCGGTTCTTATCAACAAAATACATGGTCAAATTCGGTCAAACTTCATTCCAAATCCTTCAAAGTCAAATTCCTGTGATGGATTCCAATTCCACCAAATTCAATTTTGCGAACCAAACGCCCCCTTATAGAGTTCTTTTTAAAGTAATATGAAGGGGGTTTCATATATCTTTACCATGGTATCATAAAAGATGTTATTTATCTTGTGATGTGCAGGGAACAGTAGACAATTGGTTGTTCACGAACATGAGCATCCGTGCTTTGTATGGGAAAAACGACACCATATATTACTCGTACAATATCTTCAGCAGTTTGGCCTCCCATAAACAACTTCTTACCAAAAATTGTCGAGCTTTGATCATCAAGTAATCTCCCTCGATCTCCCTTGTGCTCGTTATATTGTATAAGAATAAAGATCGAACCCAACCACAAGGGTGGTGCCTGATTGGTTTGAGCTTGGCTTCAAAGGTCAAAAGTACCAGGAGGTCTCAGGTTCAAATTCAACGAGGAATAAAAATCCCCTTGTGACCACGAAGGTTCAAATGCGGTGACTCTGGGCTATCTGCAAAGCAGGTGGTCGCCCTGGGATTAGTCGGCTCGCATAGCGGGTTGGATATCCAGGTTAATAAAAAAAAAGAGATCTAACCCAAATTAGGCTTGCATAATTGGTTATAACTTATAAACTTAGTTTCGAGATTCGAATCCACTCGTACAAACCCAATACGAAAGTTTAGTTTTTGCTTTCTTTTATAGTCTATTCAAAACTGCGTTAAATTGAGTTGCAGTGGTGATCATGATATGACATTTCCGTACATGGGCACGAGGCAATGGATAGATCTTCTTGATCTTAAAACTAAAATCTCGTGGAAACCATGGTTCGTTCGTACTCAGGTCGCAGGGTGAGTTCAAGTTCCTTCCGCTTTTGGACATTTTCGTGTATTGTTTTCAAGAAATTGTTTGTTTATGCTTCAATAATTTGGATTGTCGACAAAATATGTAGTTTTTTGGTTTTTTTTTGTCAAGTTTATGAAGTAGAATGGTTGTTTTGCAACAAAACAAGTTCCGGGGATTGAAAACGCAAAAATTTGAATATTTGGTGGGGGTTTTTTGAAAATCTAATACGATTGAACTCCATTTTGTTGTTATGTAGATATTTCAAGACATACTCAAAAGCCAAATACTCTTTGAAATATGCGACCATTAAGGTAAGAACTTGCTTGTGACAAGTGATTATTATTACGCGATAATTTGGTCAAGTTGTTGAATGGTTTAATGCAGAATGATTAAGTGGCTCTTGTGATGTAGTATAAAATAAAATATAATTGTTTGGTATTTGTTCAGAATGAAATTAGGGCATTGAATAGTTAAGGAAGACCCAAGATACAAAATCTTTCAACTGGTTTTAGAACCATTAAGAGACCGACTTTTTTTTTTTTTTGCCAAACAAGATTCACTATTCAAATGTTGTCTTTTAATGGAACTATTAAGTGTTAATCAAACAGCCTCTTATGAAAAGTGCGAGAAGGGTTGAATCACGTGATTGGTAGGGTAAAATCACATGTGATATGGCATATGCCCGAAAGAAAGCGGACGACTTGGTAAACGCGACATGTTCGTATCACATGTGATTTAACCCTTTTCGCACTTTTTACAAGTTGACCGTTTTCTCATTTAAACTCGTTTTAATGATTATTAATCAAATTATTTATATTTTCTTTATCATATTTGTTGCTTATTTTTTCATTGTTCATTTGTCCCAAACCATTTCTATTAGTTATCAAAATTAGATGAAAATGATGCAATTCTTATGACCATCAAAATAAGAGTATGTTACCAAAGGGCCGTTGGTCTACGGTATCGTAGTCCTTGACTTCCTAAGAGGTCAGAAGTTCGAACATCACCAAAGGTGAGGAGGGTGTGTGAGTTTATTTGTTGCATTTGTCGTATATAAATATTATATACTTCAAAAGGAAAATAAGAGCATGTCCTTGATGAGTTTCTACGTATACGTGTGTACCAATGTATCTGTAAATGTTCTGATGCTCGATTTTAGCTCCATGTTTATAATTTTTCAACGATGATGGTTGTTTTGATTTAAAGTGTCAATTATCTGATTAAAATCTTGGGAGTTGTTTGGTTTACATTGGGAAATGAAAATAACAGAGAATGAAAATGGAAATGAATTTTTTTTTCATTGCTCTAGTTTAACCTGGAATGGAATTTTGGGTCTATGGGAGAATTTGTTCATTATATTATATAAAATTAAACAGTTATTTTTTTATTTTCATTCCTATTGATTACTGTTTAATATCACTAACTAAACTAAGCCCTAAAATCACATTCAAAAGTGCACAAGTTTGAGATGAAAATTTGTGTATATTGTTTGTTAACGTATTTTTGATTGTCAAGTCGAAACTAATGAATGACTAACGTACGGGTTTCGTAGGATGGTGGTCATGCGGTGGCGTTATACAAGCCTGAAGAATCGATGATGATGGTGGAGACATGGCTCGATTCTCATACTAATTCTATAAAGTCTTAGAGGTTGTTTGTTCTTTTTTCAGTTAAATTTTAACCTCACTAACACGTTTGTGTGGATTATTGACATCTGTATGGAGGTTATTATTAATTGTTGTTTGGTTTTTGTAACAACCACTTCTGAACTCTTTGGTTTAGTTTGTTATAAAATCATTGTTTATTTCAAAAGTAATGCATGTGTTCTAATTCTACCTTTAATTATGACATTTTGTGACAATCAAGTCGCAAACAGATGAATTAAGTTTTTAGCTCATTAAATTCATTAAATAAAAAAGAAACAGCAGTTAGATTCTATTAAAAATTTTGTTTATTAAAAGGTTAAAATGTAACACAGTTTCTACAATTAAAGAGTTGCATACATATTGGTTCCAAAATAAACCTGTCGGTTGACATAGTAAAAAAAAAAGTCAGGCTAGGTCTAGACCAGACCTAGCATCAAACTGAAAAAAGTACAGTGGTTGTTTGGTCTGGTCCAAAAGAAATTTGGTATGATTTGTTTAAAAAAAAGATACCAAACATACTTAAAAAGGAAAACAAGATTAAAATCTAGACTGGTATGGCTAGTCTAAATGTCCATCTTTGTTGACGATAGTTTAGTTCAAGGAACAAAAAGAGGTTAGAGCGGAAAAAGGAAGATGAGAGAAGTAAGATATAGCCATAAAGTTAACACAAAGCAAGAGTACATGGATGAAAAAATTGTAGAAAGTTTTAGGGTTTTAATTTAAAATAGATAGTTTAGTAATTTACCGATCTTGTATCATGGTTTTTATTTCACCTATTTTGATAGGACAAGAATGTTGAAATAATAAGCTAGATAAGATAATATTTACTAGTTATTAGTATTAAATGTTTGTTAGGAATGGATGTGTGACACTGTTTGAAACAGTTGGAGTGTTTAGAACACTTGCAATGGTTTCCAACCAATGTGACAGTCAAGTATTTGACACTTAATAGGTTTGTGTGTTTGTGTGTATGTATGTATGTACGTATGTACGTATGTACGTATGTATGTATGTATGTATGTATGTATGTATGTATGTATGTATGTATGTATGTATGTATGTATGTATATTATATATGTGTGTGTGTGCGCGCGCATCCGTATTATATAGAACACATAATGATAATAAGATATTGTTTATATCTCTATCTCACAGGAAAAAAACTTTCTACACTTTATTTCTTAATCTGCAACTTTGTTCTTCATGTCTATTCCATCATATTAGTATTTTTCTGTGTTGATCTCGTTTGACTCCAACAAAAAAAGGATAAAAATACATTTTTATCCCACTCAAATAATATTACGCCCTAGTCAAACCAAATGTACGACTAGTTTATTTTTTGTCCTACTCAAATCATTTATAGTCACCGTTGCCTAAACATACATACCCTTCTATCTGCATTTCAATAAGATATTGTTTAAAGAAATCTTCAAAATTGATTTTTAGAAAAGAAAAAATTTGGGACCAATTTGGTTTACCCGGCCCAGGACCAGGCTTTGTACATGAGATCAAGCTGAAGACCAATTACCATGAGACGGGTTACAAAAGGAAAATCTCAACCACAACGGTGGTGCCTGATTGGTTTGAGCTTAGCTCCAAAAATCAAATGTATCAGGGGATCCAGCTCGCATAGCGGGTTGAATATTCAGGTTAATAAAAAAAAGGAAAATCTTAGACCCGGGACCGATTTAAGCCCAATCCAGGATTGGTTTTTGGCCATCTACCCTTAACGAATAAGCCCGAACTAACACTTGCTTGATAAAGAAATGATGAAAGTGGTAGCAATAAATGGTATGCAATGAAACCCTAAAAAACTAGTCTCAAAATCATGTCACTATTAATCAAGAAAACCAATTCTAGCCTTCTTCATACACCAATAAAAATGACCAAAAAACACCAATAAATCCATCATCATCATCATCATCATCCATTCCTGGGGACCTAACTGCTTTATAAAAATCAAACAAGTAAGAAATAAATAACGAAAGCCGACACCAATATCCTCGGATAACGAAGAAATATCAAACGACAAGAACTAAACTCTCTGCTAGACCACCAAGTTCTTGTGTACAAATATCAGATTTTACGTCTTGGTTTATCTCACGGTCTGCCTAATCTTGATCATCCGTTTCAGCGTTGCTAACCAGAAGCTGCACTCGTCCCAGTCACTAGTCGTAAGATCCACCTGTTCCACACACAACATTAGTTTTTTAACTCCTCAGTTCCGTTTTTACTTCATTACTCGGTTTTCAACAAATCATACCTGAATTTTGAGGGCAGTGGCAAAGTCACCACGATCCAATGATTGACACAGCTGCACAAGCTTTTCACCAGCATTTTTCGATATATCACCATTGTTTAGTTTCGCAAACAAGGCACCAATTTTCTTCGAGTTGTCATCAATTTCTCGCTTCTTAGCTGGAACGGCATTTGACCCTCCTAATGCTTCTGATGTCTCGTTGAAAAGTCTCGTCAACGTTCCAATAACTGCCCTTTGCTGGCCTGAATGAATTATGTCCAACATTTATATTAGCTTTTACCAAAACTTCAAATCATCATATACACCTGTTTAAATGAAGCACACTCAATTGTTTCTTTGATACCCACTAAACTTATAAACAATCTAAATTTCTCAGCCAATGCCAACTTTGTTGATGTAATGGGATTATCTTTTAAATACATATAACAAAACATTATCGACTGAATACACAGAACAGATATCAAGTTAACAACAAATTAGAAAATAAATAATGATAATACCTGGTACATTTGATACATCAGCTGTCTGTACAGTTGGAGGAGCTGCAGGAGGTGCAGCGGGCTGTGGAGGAGTGGACGGTTGCATTTGAGCTGAGGATGTTCTTTGCAATCCTGTATTATTAACAGGCATAAATCCCCTCACTGGTGGTGTCACACCCTGTGATATCTTTGGCCCACTGGTTGGAACCATTGGAGATGGGACAGGGCCAATTGAAGCAGGTCCGGGTGGTCCAGGTTGGTAACCAGGGTTCGGATTCACCTGAGACTGGTATGCATAGCGAGATTTTAGAAATATACGATTTATAACCAAGAAATATAATGAAAATTATATGTTTACATTACATACAGGATATAACTGAGAACCCAAGGTGGGAGGCTGCTGGTATTGGTCAGCATTTCTCATGATTGGAGGGGTTGAAGGAACAAAGACTTTGGGAGCAGGTTGAGTTGTAACTGGAGGTGGATTGAAACCCGCCTAAAAGAACGCAGATGAAAAGTTTAACCGCTAAGAAACAGCATGACATGCAATTACTCAAATCAGTTAGAATGCTGCAGTAACCATGAAAGTACAAAGTAGCAACCATAATAGAAAAGGAAAAGGTCAGAGAACTGCCAGAATCTTTGGTAACCGACATGATCCCGAACTAGTATCACTAAAGCAACTTGGAAATTTTTCAATAATTTACGTACCGGTGGAATGTGAGCTGTAGGAGATGGAACAAACATGGAAGGTTGTTGTGGCTGTTGAAACTGTGTATTGTATAAAGGACCAGGAGGTTGTTGATAGCTTTCACGTTGATAAGAGCTCTCATCCTGCACAGAAAACCGAAAGAACAAATTCCATCAACAAAAGGAATAGGATTCGGAAGTTAAATCGACACCGCGCAAAGTTACAATGTTAAGCCAATTGCTCCATCAATATAAGGAAGAATGAGCATTGGGAAGTCAAATCAACACCAGCAAAGCTACAACAATGTCAAGCCAATTGTTCCCAATCAATAGAAAAAGAAAAATGGATTCTGGTAATAAATCTACACCAGGAAAACCTGATGCCTTCCCTGCCCACTTTTTCTTATGCTCTTGTTTCACAATCTGTGAGAATGCAAATTTTTAGGTGCAATATTATATAGCTTGCCAAACATTATCAGAAGTATTACACTTACGGCCCTCTTATTTTAGTTTTTAAGTTCCAGGATTAAATATACGGTTCTCATTGTATGATATTTCCCTTCAATGAAAGATTCTGAATACACTGACGGGAGTGCATGTATATATATAGAGAGAGTAATGACCAGGTACAGTCAAGAATACCTGATAATAGTTTCGGGGAGGTTCGACCACAGGGTTTGGTTGCTGGGTTGCACCGTATACAGCTCCCATTTGTGGATGAGGGTGAGCAAAATCTACAGACCCAGTTGTCTCTTTCCCTGCAAAGAAAACCAAACAGAATAAGCAGCAGCCACTAAACACAACATTGCGTACTTAAATATACAAACAACATTGGCACTCAGGCCAGGTTGCCTAACCATATACAAAAGAACCTAACAAGTTCACTGCTAAGTGCATGATCAGGACACCCATTCAAACAGCATTAGTTTTCATCAGAGGGGAAATCTAGTGGTTCCAGAAACTCCAGACACAATTTTATAACGAAGTTCTATTAGCGATCTCTCATGGTAATAAAAGACCTCAGTAACAGTTAAAACAGAGTGAACCCACTAATTACATACACAGCACACCAAGGTAAGAAATATGATTCTATTTTTCTCCATGAACATATGAACTCAAAATGAAATTAGAAGTCAAAGCTGTTCAACAAAACAAATATGGAACTTTCCCAGCCAAGTATAGCACATGGCAAACGAATAACCAACACAAAAGACTATGATTCAGAAAATGAAAATGTTTAGGCTTTAGTATTCATGAAAAAGGAACAAATAATTAAAAATACAAACAGGTCATGAAGCTAACGTAGGAAGGATGCAAACAATTTCTTTTGTACTATCATATCTCGTCTAAAAGGGAATCATGTGCAGTCTCATAAACACTAACATCAATGTTCCTTTTTTTCATGTTGTTAACAATGTTATTACAATGTTGGAATTGTCTATCATATAGGAATTTCATTTCAACATGAAAAAGGAAAGCAAAAGAACCTATTAAGTTTGTGAGACCTAATAATGTGCTTATTTCCATGAAGCATGAAAAAGGGATACCAAAACCAAGAATTTACAGAAACATGAAGAAAATGAGAAGAGCATGGATTATTAGAACATTAAGAAGAAAATGGTGTGATATACTTGACATAAAATGCTAGCATAATGCATACCTGGTTCAGACGAGAGGGCTATCCGATCTCTTAAGATCACAAGTTCAGGAGATAAATCCTCTGTGCCCATTAGCTTCAAATATTCCATAGCCGTTGTCAAAAGTCCTTGACTTGCTAATATCTCAGCGTACTTCTCAACAAGTTTGCATAAAGAAGCACTGAATCTCTTCTGTCCAGTTGCTAAAGCAAGAACCACTGTCTTCTCCATTAAATCCTAACACAAGAAAAAGAGAGAATTAACAATTTTCTAGACCCAAGGATCAAGAATGAATTGATTAAACCTTGTTTCTCATCTTGCCTTTTTCTCCTCTTATCCTTTCTACTGTTCACTTTTTCAAATAGTAACATTTTATTATTACTTTTCAGCTGGCATAAATTGAAATCATCTTTTCTGAAATAAGTGTCAACCAAATTGTTCTCAAAAACAGAAAACTGAACAATTGATAGAAACCCAAATGAACATATGGTAGCATGCTTACCTGAAGAAGGTCAACATAGGATTCTCCGTTGTGCTCAGCGGTAACATTCTTCGACCAGATTTCCACCGTTTTATCAATGTTCCCAGCGCATATATAACAAAGAGTCGCAGCTAGCGTATTACCAACAGTTACGAGTCTAGAGGCAAGGGAATCACAAAGTAAAGTCCACTCCTCCCTTTGTGCAAACTGTGAAGGCATATGCATGATAAGTTGGTGAGCCCAAAACACGAGATCTATATAGTATACCATTTTTTTTATGAGCAAAGGGGAAAGAGAGATCAAAAGAAAAAAAATATATAATAAACAAGCATAATTAGAAGACTTGCTCCAGTATCTCATAATTTATTGGCTTTTATAGTAATCTAGGAAACTTACAGTGCATAGGAGAGCAAGTGTTTCCTTCCAGGATTTCAGGGGCCTGGTATTTACTAGACTAACAAGGTCATTATTAACCATTGCAGCAACAACCTGCGTTCAAGGAAAATATGGAAATGCTAAATTGCACCACACGGCAATGATAAAATTAATCACACATCACCTAATGGAAGCCATCAGAAATTAAATGGTAGAGAGTTAAGGAAGGAAAAAATCACCTTTAAGTAAGGAGAGCTGTTCTTCTTAAGGTATTGATCGCGTGTGCTCTCCCACAAGGACGCACCACCAACCTGTGCGATAACTAAAGCATCTGCCATCTTATCTGCAGCTATGCATTGTGCAACAGCTCCCTTGTAATCTCCAACAACCAGAGCACGTTGTACAGCATCATCAAATGAAGGTTCAGTGACCCCCCCTTGTAAATCACTTTCCTTTGTCGGTTCATCCACACTGGGAGCAAATTCTTCAGTATTCTTTCCTGGAGTTGAGACAGGACTTGGAAGATTGTTAAAAAAATCCTCCCCGTTATCAGTCGGGGAATTAGATGCTTGGTTGCCACCGACAAACCCTTCTTTAGCTGCTTCGTGTTCTTCAAAACTGAGAGAACTTACATCCTGAGACAGATCTTGCACATTCTCATTTACTTCTGCAGGCAAACTGAAGCCAAGGTGGTTTAGAAGCTTTGTCCTTGCTGTTCCATCATCTTCAAACATCACCTTCAAGAATCCCCATGTTTCTCTGTCATCCTCAGATCTGCTCAGACAACAAAACACATTCAAATAATTCAAAAATAATTAAGATAGAAAAGAAAAGGAAACTCGTTCTTCTTATGGTAACATACTCAGATTCTTGAGCTTTTTTGTCACATAGAACCCTTAAAGAAGATCTGTCTCCACTCCGCATTGCAGCTTCAAATTCAGATGAGGTATTCACTAAATTGTGCTCATTAACCAAGTCATGCACATTAACCTGAAGAACCGGGAAGACTGAGAACATAGACTCATAGAAGGAAACAGGCAGTGCAAGCACCCACTAGAAAATACCTCTGAAGGTCCAGAAGAACCAGTTGAGTGAAAAGAAACAAGCTTGCCACCAAAACCAAAAGAAACTCCAGCTTTACGTTGATACCATTTTGGGGCTCTTAAAGGTGCTGCACAGCAGTGGCCAGATATAAACAATGGTCCAGAGTTAAAGATGAGCAAAAATATTAGAAAAATACCAAAGCTTCAAACAGATAATACAAAATGGAAAGAGAAGGAGGAGTAAAAAATAAGGGATTTACATGATTAAAGCTTATTTTGTCATCATCAGAAGCTCCTTGATGACAAGCTTCAACCTTTAGCAACCATCTTAAGTAAGCCTTTTGTCCTAACTAGATGTGGTGCTAAAAGATGATACCCAATAACCGTGTAAAAGAGAACGACTAAGGTAAAAAGACAATTACCTACATGAAATGCATTTTACCTGCACTGTATTCACGTTAAATGCGTAGTTATAATCCAATTAAAACAAGTTCCTTTCTGCCACTCCTACGAATTAATTTTGTCCAACCCCTACCTCTCACAAAGCCCTCTTCTTGGTAGAAGCTACCTCCGACAGTACCTTGCTGGTATTTCTATAAGATTAGTTCTGGCACCCACACACAAAAAAGTTCAATGACAATTTCCTTCATGTTGCATGAAATTTATATTTTGTCACGCCTACCTAACACTGCATAGAATATCTCTATAGGCTCTTTCATCTACCAATACTAAAGGTGGCAGTTTCAGCCCATTTATGTAAAGATGGATTAATTTGGGCTATATTTTATTATAACAGGTCAAATAGGTAAAAATTTATAGCTAAAAATGAAATGGTTCGTCAGGTTTAAAACCAAAGTATATTCAAGTGTTTTCAACCGTTTAAATTGATTTATTAAAATAAATTGGAATCATAATTTTGTTGTTTTTGATATATAATACATTTAATTATTTAAGAATTTAAAAGAAGTGTTGACGGCAACCCAACCCGTCTTAACCCGTTACCCATCCCATCCAAACCGCCCATTTTGCCACCTATAAGCAATAAAGTATAGTAAGATGCAAATGGGTGACTCTCACAAGTACTTAGTCTTGGGATATTCTACCATATATAGTCCACCAAGAAAGCTTTTAGAAGTCGTGCTTTGTTATTCAACTCAAAAGGACCATATCAGAAGACGATAATATTATCAACACCCTTACTTTCCTTGGCATGTAGCAGCGGTTTAATAATAATTGTTCTTAACTCTGCCGCTTAACTTTATCAATAATCATCAACAAGCTGTTCAAGATTCTTTTTTAGTTCTTTATATTCTTGAAGTTAATCTCTCTTTTTTACAAGTATGAACCTCTAACAACGCTTGAACACCTTACTCCCAGCTTGGTGGAGGTAGGTGGTTCCAGATGAACTATTGCACTGTACTCCACTGTTTGTTGATAAAACATTGGATAGTCTGACACATGAAATATGTTTAGAGTTGTTTAAAATAAACAGTGAAGGTTGACTAAGAGGAATCCTGCAAGTAACACTAAATGCCAATTCTTACAGAGATGCAACCAAGAAACAGGTAAAAATAGAATGAGCAAACAAAATATCTGCTGCAATAGCTCAAAAATGAATCGGTCAACTTGTCTATGAAAGTATAGTTTCTGTTGGGGACAACTAAAAACAGGAAGAAAAGAAACTCCAATGAAGGTACATTGCAATCACATTTTAGAAGTTGTCAGGAGGCGCTGCCTAATCTTACTGGTCATTACTCACAATAAATAATTATCAGTGATTTTGATAACTTACAGATGTACAAGTGCATACAAATTTTTAACATCATTACATCATATAAAGTATCATCTCCAACATAAAGAACTACATTACCTGAGCCAAAGTGATTCTCACCAGCACCATATCGAGCACAAGCCTATAGAAAAACACAGATGTAAGCTTCTTAAGCAGTTACTAGATAAAACCCATGATTTCCCAGCTAAGAGCATCTCCAACAGATTCTCCAAAATGAAGATTTTGGGGATTTTTGCTCCAATAGATTCTCCAAAATGAAGAAAGTAGGAGAGAGAGAATGAAATTCTCCAAATTTGAAGAACTCCCCAAAAATGATTACTTGGGAGAGAGAAATTATGTTTTATTCTTCCTACCAATGGCAAATCTTGAAATTAAATGTTTTGAAGAGAGAAATAATATTTTTTTAATTGTATTAAATATTTTTAATAATATAAATAATATTATAATCTCCAAAATGGAGAAGCTGTTGGAGATGAAAGTAATTTTTCTTTGGAAATTTTGACTTTTGATTCTCCATTTTCGAGAATCTGTTAGAGATGCTCTAACATGTAAGCCTGCGATCTTTAATCACAATAGTACATAAAAGAACATGTCAATTCCAAAACAACATGGAAAGGACAGAAGTGGAAGAAGACAGGTATTCCAACAGCAAACCAAAAAAACCTATATGAAGATAAACATGGCCAGAGTGAATTTAACAGCTTTTAAAATCCCACTAGGTAACTGTTCATATATGCTGCATTATATCATTAGCAACGTATAAGCAATATATTTGTTTAAACTACTTAAGTGGATGTAAATCAGTTTTGCAAGAACAATAACGATATACAAACATGGATAGGTACAACATAGCATACCTCAATATTATAAATGCCAATTTTCCCATCAAATGACGAAGCTGATATGATTCCTGGTATCTTTGGATACCAGTGTACATCAAAATTCCAATTGGTTCCAGCTGGAAGTTCAGAGACAATCTGCATCAAGACATAAAAATAGCTTAGACATTAAAAGAACAACAAACTAGCATTGACACAGTAAAATCATCAAACTCTCAAAACAACTAACAGAAAGATTTACAGACCTCAGCAGAACCAGTGTCCCAGCAAATAGTGCGGTTATCTTTGGCACAGGTAAGCAAGTAGGAGCTATCACTGGGACACCATGACATTGCAACCACACCTGGCACACCATTTAGTTGGGAGCACATTTGTAAGGAGCAAGAGAACTAAAAATTGCTTCGTAAAAGATGATACATTACTGCAAATTGAAATCACTAAAACCTACACAGATACGCACGCATATCCTGCCTTATTAATGCATAATAGCCAGGATAGCTAATTAAAAGAAGGAAAGATAGCCAACTATTGATGCAGATAATTTATGGTGAAAAAAAAGGCAATGTAAAAATATTAGAACCATTAACAACAATATAAGCTCCAGAATACCGCTTCAACATAATCATCAGTTCAACACATATTGAAGTGTGTTGGCTAATAAATTCTACAAGGTTCATAAATTTTATATCAGCCTTCTGAGTTCTGCCCAAAGAAGAACTGGAAAAGCTATTGCCCCTCATTTCCAATAGAATGGCTAGGTAATAGCTTTTTTATTCTTTTGCCAGACATGAAAAACAAAAATCATATTATTTCGCACAATTTACTTCAACTCATTATAAAAACTTATTTTAAATATTGAAGGATATTTATTGTGCTTTTAATCACTAATTAAACAAGCACGTCATCAAAATTTAATTTTTTGCACCTCTTTTAGATTTTAAATTGTTATACTATACTTTAGAAATCAAAAGTTTACGACAGACAAAATAAGTTAAGAATGCTAAACGAAATACAATCAATTTTCCTGTCGTCACTAAAAATAAGATGAGAAGTCTAAGAATTTGCAATAAGACAAAACAGAAGCAACTCAAGGTGATAAAATTTCACCAGCTAAATCTTATGCCAGCTACTCATGTGAGTAGCTAAAATTGCCATATCTCTGGTTTTCTCAAAGAAACAGTTCAAATATGTTTATCCAAAAAGTAGTTCATATATGAAAAAGAGATCTTAATATCGAATATCATTCTAACGTACAAACATGATCAAACCAGTGGCAGATTGTCCAAATCTGAATTGTGATTTTAAAAATAACACCCTAGCAGAAATTATAATTCCACAAGATTAAAAAAATTGGGCCCCAAAGAAGTTTGGGTAGAAAAATAATATTTTTCTTCAACCAAGCACGCTCTTTTATCTACTGTTGATAAACAAAGAGAAATCACAAATACATAAAACAAGTGGTTATCTTCACAAAATCATATTATGTTTTCTAAACTGCAAACAAGAATTCAAGTCCTTTTGTGCATGTGCAGGTCAGCGAACAGAGTTAAATCATCATTGAACTTCTACCAAGTACCCTTGTTGAATATTTCATAATTGAGAATTAGCATACCTTTACTGTGACCTACCAACTCTCGCAATGGTGACATTGTATTCCGCATATCCCATATCTGCACGCCAAAGCAAAAGTAAATTACAGTAACAACATTATTAGTTGGAGAAACATTAACAAAAGCATAACTTATTACCCTCAAAGAAGGTGAACTATCATCATCTGAAGCAACAATCAGCTGAGTGGCAAAATCAGGATGCCACTGTAAAACAGAGCATCGTCTTCTAACTGAATCTGAAAAACTGTGGATTGGAAGTTCATATGTTATCGGCAACAGCTCATAATTACACAACATATTCATCATGCCAACTTTGCATCTTGTTCCATGTATTTACCTTATAATCGGTTTTTGCTTCCTGAGGTCCCAAACCACTGAAACAGACAACAGATAACATAAATCTCTATAAACTTAGATATTCTTAACAAAATATGGGGGGTCTTTGTGCATACCAGTTGTCCCATTAAAGGAAGTGGATGCCAAGATAGGCTGAACTTTCCTGTTCCACGATAAGAAAGATATTTCACCCTGTTTAGCTGACGCACTTCCCTGCATATAGTAGTTTATTAGATGTCTAAAATATGGTGAAGGTGTGTGTGTGTTTGTGTGAGTGTGAGAGAGTGAGAGACTGAATGCAGATGAAATAACAGCAATTTCATGCTTTTTCTAAATGAATTGAATCTTGTCAATGACGATGCTTACAAACATTTAAATAAATGTTTTTAGGAGGATGTGGTACTCACAAACTCACTAACTCGATATAATTTTCATGCAGAAGTATCATATAATATCATAACGGAACTTTAAGAATATGATACAAACTTAAACAACTGGACCTATTTTTCGCAACCTAGATAGAAGAGAAAATTTTTAGACTGGCCTATATTTTCTTGGAGAACATGATTAGCATTCAACCATTAGCTTCTATTTTAGATAACCTCCTTTGTTTAGATTTTATCCTTCATTTATGCTTTTATTGTGGGTTTGCAATACCAAGTTGTTTGTTATTTAGATTGCTTCTTACCTATTTTAACTTTAGATAATGGTTGCACAAAAAACCAACAAAGCAAGAAAGGGTCCAGATGACATGCATAACATTGCAAATCCACTATTTTCATCATGTGCAGTAGTAAGATACTAAAGATGCTAAAGGGCATTGCAGTAGTACTTTACGTTCTAGATACTTCAATCTCAAAATTTCATCCCATATAAACATCAAGTCTGAGATGTAATTATTATAAAACATGTGCTTGCCTACTTGGAGAGTAGCAAAAAATAAACGTTGTAGGTAAGCAGTAAAAGAAGTAACATAGTGATGTATCAGATTCATGATACAGGAGTTCATTATTTGTAAGAGATAAAAAATTGTATCAAACTGAAAAGCTAGGACATACTGAAATATATAAAAATAGTCAAACCAAATTCAACTGAGAATTAACATCAACCAACAGATAAACCATCTCAACAGTGAAACAATCGGGTGAGAAACAACTGACTGGACACCAACTGAGATGAGACCATAACTGTGTCCTGAACCTAAAATGGCCTAAAAGATGCATAACTAATTGACTGCTGAAAACACATGAACCAATAGGGATCGATAGAAATAAACTGACAGGAGTTGGTTTGCATCTTATTTGTCAGAAATTAGGGTTCAGGAACAGAGCATCGGTCCATGATGGAACTGGCAGTCATAGAAATCGGGATAAGATTGTGGTTCGAGGGTTTCAATTTAGTGCAGCATCTTAAACATTGCTCTTAGATTGTGTACCAAACCCAGATTAAGTACAACTTATTCTCAGTGGAAACTGAAAAAAATGAGTTACTTTATCCATCCTTGTTGATTTTTTTTTTTTGTAAGGTCCATGCATATTTCTGAAGCTCACACGCCCACACAGCAAAACAATGCATCTTATCAGAATTAACAACAGGATGCATCATATTCCACCCTGTGCTTTCACACCATGGGGGGAGCTAACGCACAGGGAAGAAGCTTAGATAAGAGAACGAATTCCATGATAACAAGAAATAGAAATTTAGCCAATATCCAAGAAGACTGGTTGATCCGGTCAATGGCACTTGTTGTATAAAGCAGTAAAATCACGAGGATGCTAGATTGCCAGGTGCCAACTGAGAGCACCTTATGTTCTAAAGCTGAGTGACATCTTGTAGCACATCTTTGTCCGTGGGATCTCCCATGCTGATATCTCCCAAATCAATATCTTTCTAGCATTCTAAGGACATACAGATTATATCCTATTCCCATGTGTCCTCCAGAGGGAATAAACTTCTATGCATATTCCATATTGACATAAGCTGATGCCTGATTAGCAAACCTAATAAACTCCCTTATATAGCATGACGCCTTCTTCCTCGCATCTAAGCCTTACATTAACCATTCCCTCCTTATTTCCTTGTGATCCAGCCGAAACAACCTAACAAATATACATTTCCTAAAAACTAATGTGTGGTTTGCTCATACCGATACTGCTGGCCTGGTGCTAAACAGTTGCCTTTTGAACAATTCATACCCTACAATTACAGCGAAAGACTAAATAACCATAGTATTTGTATGTCTTACTATAGAACTTCTATCTTTGACTGTTTGACATAATGCTAGCCTAACTAGTACTTTTAGTTATTCAAGCAGCTCACATAAATGTAACCATTTCACTTACATAATGGACTTCTGATGTGGCCTGTGGGACTAAACTTGCGTGCCAAAAGGAAGTATTGCATACAATATGGGATGGAGAGAGCAAACAAGAACAAGCCTTTTACCCCAACTGGACAAAGTGAGTTAAGAAGATAAAAAGAGTTCACAAAATATTAGATAACTTCTCCTTCTTTGACAGAAGGTTGCAGCTTAGGCAATATTATTGATATGAAATTGTTCTAAAACCCATAATTGTGCAAGTTGATGTGGAATGTAGCTTGGTGATATTAGAATATTCTTGCCTTGAGAGGAGGGAAATGTGTAGGTTCCGAGGGTTTAGCAATATCCCATATACAGATTTCCCCTTCTTCAGCGCCAGAAGCAAGATGGTTTGGTGAAAGACCACTAAACTCAAGACCACGAACCTGTAGACAAAAAAGGAGATATTGATGCACAGTACGCCCAAGATAGCTTATCATTACATGCCAAGAGAATATAATGGTAACATCATAGAAACAGAAAATGGAAACTTACAGGCCCTTTGTGTCTCGATAGTTGTTGAATTAGAGCGCTTTCACTTTCTTCGGGACTGTAGTCAGTAAAGAAAGCACCAATAAGGCTTTAATGATAACGAGATACTGCAGCAATTACTAATTCCTCAACATCATGAATAAATTAATAAAACCCAACACTACAAAGTACAAGAAACACAAATCTGAAATTTTGTCAAGGAAATAATTTGCCATTACCAACAAGAATATAGGTGAGGTGAACAAAATTAAATTTTGCAATTTTCATTTTATCTTTTGCATCTTTGTTTTTAATTTGTTTGATCATCAATAGCTTAGCATGCATACTGCTAAGAAACATCATTTTAAAACCTTAAAGGATGAAATCATCCAGCAAGAAAATCCTGTATCTGAAATGTTAGGTAGCCACCCACAAGAAAATGCAATCCGAGCATGTTGTCTCCATTTCCCTTGAAATTGAAATAAATATGCAAAAGCAATTCTAAGACACAACGAAGCTGTTTCCTTTTATTTCCATACAAGCAGCCTTATAAAAGAAATTGCATCTAATGATGGATAGCAGTGTTCACGGTCAGGTTAATCTCAAAAGTTTCAAAAAGCTCGAACCTAGCCTCATTCAGCCAAAAAGCCAAACCCAAACCTAACCTCAATTTGCAGTTAACGTCAATTCGGTTGGCAGTCAATCTCTATAAGCAAAAGAAAGAGACTCTGTAAACTATAATGATCCCATGACCATCAAATAACATTCACTAATCATCAAACTCATGTATAAGCATTGATATTAAGTTTGAACCAACAAAACAAATTAAAGAAACTTAGTAGGAGTTTTGGATTTCAATGCAAAAAGAAGTCTAGAATCAAGCCATGAAGTAGCATCAAGATTTTCTAATTTAGTTCAATAGTAAATTTGACTTTTGAGATAAGATCTTCAAATATTTTACTTATTTTTAATACAAAAAAATTATTTTCTATATCTTTTATATATAAGAGGTTCTGTTCAGTTAACTATTTCTTTTCAAGTACCAAACCACATAATGCATGACTGCCAAATTTCATGATCCAAAACACATTGTGCGATTAACCTCTCGGTTTGGTTCAGTTCAATTTTGATTAAAAGGGTTCTTGAACACCACTAATGACGGATAATCGCTAATATCATTGGATCCCAATATAGATATAAAATACACACCTATTCTAATATCAATTAAAGCCTAATATGGATGTAGAAAACATCCCTAATAAGCTTAAGAAAGAGGCCATGGATTCTAGCGGCTAAATTACCAGTACCAGTTCATAAAAGATCAACAGAGATGACACATCATAGACTCATAGTACATATTTGAAAATTCAGAAACACAATTCTCCCTCAATGACACAAGCATGCAAAAAAAATGGCAAGTCGTCTTTAGAAGCTGCTAAATTCGTTTTAATATCATTAGTTTTAGTAAAAGAGTCATTTGAAACTTCAAGTAGTACAAGATATTTTCTTAAGGTTTCATCAAAATGATGTCGTTACACTTGTTGTAGAAATGAGGAAATAATATCCTAATTCCTACAGGACAATGAGAAAAAGCATTGCGGCTTAACTCCACAAGCAACCATATTTTCCACAATGCCAATCACATAACAATTTTTCATTCAACCGTTGACATCCTAACGATCCAATCAAATCTCTCAGATTCAAATGCAAAAAGAGAAAAACATAATTCAGGACTGGATCAAATAATTACGCGGCCCCAATTTGAATCAACTACGAAAAATTCTATCATTAACAGTGTTTTACCTTATAAGAAGTCGAGGGTTCCAGATACCAATATTTCCATCCACAAGGCCACCAGCAACGAGACCGAACGAGAATTCTTCCGAACCCGATGTCGGAGATTTCCCCCAAGATAACCGATTAAACGGTTCGGAGCTGGGTATAGCGCCAACTAAGGGAAGCTTATGATCGTCAGATTGGAAGTCAAGTTGAAAGATTTCCAGATTCGCGGAGGAGCTAAACGACATATCTACAGCTCCCGCCATAGTGCCGGCGGCAATGAACGGTGCTTCGGGGGCAAACGCCACCGATGCCGATCTATTGACTTCTTTTATACAGGCCGATGTATCCATTTTGATTTGATTGTTAATGGAAGAAATTATAAAATTTGGGAGAGATCTGAAAGGAAGGAGTGTGTAGGGTTAGGGTTACGATCGAAAGAAGGAATCGGAAGGGGGAAATTGATGACGAGAGAAAAACAAATCTCTCTCCGGCGTAGGGTGCTCGGTTTCTCTCTCCTGTTACTTCACTTCTTCATGCCATGAGACCTTTTTGGGTAAGACGCTGGTTTTGGAAGATGATACAACAACTACGGTCTTTAAGCCAAAACTAACCTTCCCTTCCCTTCCCTTCCTCTTTGTTGTTCGCAAATTCTATTACAATTTTTTAATTATATTTTTTATTCGTATAATTATATCTATACTATCTTATAAAGCAAATTTAACAAAAGTCTTAAAATCTTAAAATATTAAATGACCAAGATACCTTTTATATCACTTTTTCACCCACTCATTTTCTCACCCTCTCACAACAGATTTTTTTAAAATTATAATTTTAACTTTACACTTTATACCCCTATAATTAGTTAGGGGCTGTTTGGCAGTTGCTGAATGATTTATGTAGAATAGTTAAGAGGTCAGAATGGTTAAGAGGGTCAGAATGGTTAAGTGCTGAATGAAATAATGTTGTTTGGTAACTGTTCTCTGAATGACAGTAAAATTACCATTTTAAC